ATTCCATCCAGTTTTATTCATTGTAGTGTTTGTTCTTCAGTTTCTTTCTTGAGCAAGTTGTCTTCGCGTGCAGTGGAAATTTTTGAGGTTTCACTAGAACATGTGTATTGATCTTTGATTGATGTCGATTTTGAATTGAATTCAGATTTTTTGTTTTGTTTTTTCGCTTTATCATTATTGTTTATTACAATTATAAAGTGTTTGAATCGGTCAAGGTGTTGTGTTGTTGTGCATGGAATTGACAACAGAATAATGAGATTTTCCGAATTCGGGAATAAAACCTCTGAATAAGGACGACATCGATCAGTTCACTTATCAATGAATAAGGAATGGAATTGGGAATGAGAGATGGGCATTTGAATGGGAATATGCAAAGGGACAACGTTTTCCAAAGACTTCCACATTAGCATATTATTTTTTTGGTTAAAGTTAACCCTTCAGTTATGCAGATATTAGTTCATATATGATAATTTGTAGAATCAGTTGACGGTATTAATAGCGAGTATGTTTGCACTGATCATTGTCGATTATTATATTGTTTGTGAGTGGTTGTGGTGGGTATTTGGTCGTAGAGCTTAAGTTTTAATTCATGGCGGCTGAGTTGGAACTGTCGTATGGAAAGGCGATGTCAAAGGTTATGGAGCATTTGAGTTATGGATTGAACGGATCTGGCGTTGAATGAGTGCCTTTTAAAGATTTACGAGACTAGGTTATAAAGGTTATAAATCTAGGGAGTTGCGGTCGTATATGAGCCCATAGAAAATCTCACCTATAAACCGCTCAGAAGTGGCTTAAGTTTACAATATCTTATGATAAGTAGTCAGGTGGATAGAACGGCATTCAATAAAAATTCTGAGATTGTATTTCTGAATCCCTATGAAATATGCTAGTACAATATCGCTCATGTGAATGAACTGGCAAGAGTTAGCATTGACGACAGTCGCTAGTGAAATCATTTGAGAGTCTTAAGAGGATTCAGAATATCTGAATGCAAGTTTCTGGATTCTATTGAGTCCTCTGAGATGAGAGAGCCTATCGGAATTGAATGTGAAAATGTTATGAAATGCTCCTTTGGATCTATTGTTTAGAGCTAATGGAATTTTTATTGCGTTTGACAATGTAAACTAATATTAATTTGGATTGTGATATTCACAGAAATGCAGTCAAAATCAATCAAACAAAACATCGTTGTTATCGTTATTGCTAGTTGATCCCAACTGTTTCACATGGTCAGTTTGAAAAGGAGTTTATGTTTCAGTTGCAGTTCACACCAAAACGACTATGGCTAACGGATGCGGGACGTTTATATGATTCGATTACGTCACTTCAAACAGCCGTTTTAGTGATAACGGTTGTGATTGGCATCTTATGTGTCCTTGAAACTATCGCTATAATCTATCGAATATTAATTGAAGGACGGCAAAGTCAGCGATACTCTGAGGTGATCGAATCAGCTGAATTCAACAATGCAATTCAGAACACATTTCCTTATCAACATTCTCTCGAGTAATCGCTTCACAAGACTTCAATCAACAAGTCAAATTTATTATCAACGTTAGATGAGAAGACGATATCTAGCTGAGTGATCATTTTCGATTATCACTAACTGAAAAGATCAAAGCAATTTCTCCTCACATCAGAAAAATCATCACCTGAATTCAAAAAAGTGCTCCAGCAAAATTGCGCATGCTATCAGTAAAGAGTGAAGTGACTGCATGTTCATTGATAAGGATTTCGATAAGTGTTCCATGAAGCATTTGTAAGAGATCACTGGGATGTTCAATTCACACTCAGATTTTAGTATCTCGAAAGATATCGGAGGCAATCGCGAAGGACCAGTAGAAGTGGTCGAATGAGATCGACGACTAGCGCAAGTAGATCCTCACGTTCGGCTGATCGACGTCACCGTCCAAGCAAGACTAAGAGCCGTGATGGTGCGAAAAAATTGAAGTAACTAAATGAATTTTTAAGAAAGCTATCCATTTCTCAGTTTTTGTTTGGTGAACATTTGAAAAAAAGGTTAAATTCTCATGGAAGTTGTGAATTTTGTGCAGTTTTTTGTTTATGATGGAAATTCTCATATTTCAATTCATTGATTTCTGATAATTTGGATGAAATTTGCGAGAGGATCGAATGTGAGTGATTAGAATTGTTTGTCACAAGGAGAAGCAAGCCAAATGAACCAAGCAAGACGTCCACCGTGAGGATTTCGTTGGATCACGAAGAGGATGATAGTGTACCGAAGGAAACACCAGCCGAAAAGCGTTATCGTTCACGATCGCGATCCACTTCAGACTCTGGTGCGCCTAGAACAAGAGATTTCAACAAGGTCATTATGGAAGTTCAAATTCATCAATATGAGGATGAAAATGCTGTTTTTATGTTTGCTATCTACTGACCAGTTTGACCACGTAAAATATTAGCCTTTGATAATTATCAGAGTCAATGGACTCCTTGAAATATACTGAAATCATTGTTGAACTCTTTTATAAATCCTAATGAATATCGCTCCCCATTTGATCGATCATCATTTAAAGATGAAATTCAGAACTGATCTTAAGATGTAAGTAAAGCACAGCTGATTAAGGGAAAGAACAGTTACAGAGTGAACCATACGGGGCACCCGAGCAGGTTAATGCGGATATTCGGGAGTTGGCGCAAGAGAAAGGAGACGGCTGGGAGAGAGTGAAAAAGGATTCCAGGAAAGGAGATGTAAAGATAGATATAGAACAGGATAAAGCAAGGAAGTCATCGGATTCAGGTGCTGACAGCGGTAAGTTCGAGTTCATTTTCTATTCGACTGAGCTCATTTTATCGTTCGTATCTGTTGATATCAACTCTAAAGTGCATATTACTTGAGATTTGACGTGCAAAAGCCAGCTGCAATCAGCTTGCATACTTATAATTGAACTGAGGATGTTTCCTTGCAAATGCTTCGTAAAATGGATTTTACGGGAAAGAACGGCTAGATCTCTAAGTTTCCTCATTGGCTTCAATATTCGATGTGGTTTGAATTCAGCTGATTCAGTTAGAGAATGCTACTTGTAAGATTCATGTTGCGTCGATCATGTATTCTCCGAAAGGCTACACCGGTATGAAAAATTGGGAATTTGACTTTCCAGATCAAAGGAATATTTTGAAATTCACTTGTTCAAAATCTAAAATGCACTAGAAGTAAGGCAGATTACAGCTCATGAAACTGGTATACGCATAAAAGATTCATTAGTGGCCGCTTCAGCTCCACCCAATTATGTGGCTGTTTCTGACAAGGATCGTGAGTTGACTTAAAGCATAAAAATTTTTGTATTTTTCATGTGTGAATGCAAAATCATTGATTTTCCACGCTTGCGCCCTTCGAAGCATGCATTTATCTTATTGTAGTCGACAGTATGGTTGCAGAACATTTTCACTCTGATTACAATATGATGTTGACATCAATTATCTGTACTGAACGAGCAAAGGGCGTGCTGAATAAGATCATGCTAAACATATGTACGAAAGTAGTATTCGGAAGCAGACCAGCTTGAATGTTCTCCCATTTGTTACTGTGTTGATATATCTGGTAACAGCATGAAGTTCTCTGAGCGCTGACCTCAAGGAACTCGCTCCACTGATAACAACTGATATCTTATCATTCTGAAGTGATAGCAGCATATCATCATTCTGAATTCACGGAAATCAAATGTTGATTGTGAAGTTAATCGTTGTTCTCAAAAGTATGAAGTCCATTGACTGAGGGTATCACATACTGTAAAACGATTGATCTTTCGTGCACATGATCAAATGTTACTATAGCAAAAATTGGATACGTTGCTTTCACATGTCTCCCTGTTGTTAATGTTGATAAGTTGGCGATCATAAGCAAACTCAGGTAGAATCCAATGCTATTTGAAGAAGTTAACGAAGAAGATTTCTCCACATATGAGTTTCAGTGGATAGTGCTGCAAAGAAGACACCTGGTTCACCGCAACAACAGTCACCAGCCCATCTCTTTGGTGATCAACATAATGATGTAAAACCAGTAGCGAAAGATTCACTCAATCAAGTGGGTGATAAGAACTTTGTACCAGTGGCTGAGTTA